AAATAGTTTAAAATACTCACACAATAAAATTTTGAAGTGCTCATCACACAAACATTCGTCCTGGTCGCCCGCAGTCAGGGTCACTAACCACTAGACCAACAGGCCTGACGATAAATAAAATAAAGTCTCTAGCTCGAGAGGAGAGGAGCCGTGGTAGCTCGGATGGTTAGCACTTGCTAAAATTTTCACAGTGTGCGAGCAAACCGGGTTCGATCCCCGCCGGCACCAATAATATTGTAATTGCAATTTTAAGTGTTGATTTACCACGTGCTCAATGGCGAAGGAAAACATTGTGAGGAAACCTGCATGTCTGAGATATAAGAAAAAAAATATTTCGAGGACACGCAAAGTTCGCCAACACGCAGTGGGGCAGCGCGGTGGATAATTCCTTTCCTAGGACCCTTTCAGAAAATAAAATAGAAATAAAAAAATAATAAATCCAAACTTCATTTAAAACCAAACATATAAATTGTAAAGTAGCTGCAGGTATCTATAACCAAGTAAAAGATATTCCTTTACTCCAACTTGTCCACGTTTCCCAAAACAATTTTTAATTAAGCTTTATATTATAATGCGGATTTTTTATATTTAAAATTTTAATAATAAAGCATTTCGTACGTCTCAGCCGAGGCGCAAATATTTTTCGGCCGCAAATTTATAAGACCGATTTGTTATTCAAACATAAACATGGTTTTTTTAATTAAATCATAAAACGACCCAACACTTCCTATTCAATTCACAAAGTACCTATTATATATTTGTTTCTATAAAAAAGTATATTTAAGTAACAAACATAAAACTAAATGGAAACACAAAGTAGGAAAATGCATTGAGTTATAAAACACATAAATCAATGGGCAAATGTAAAAATGCTGGAGGCAGGCAACCCTATCGCATGTTTACGTACCGCACGGCTGTAAGATTTATTTCTAAGATACGGCCGAGTTACAATATACCGTGACGTAAGCGCATCGGTTGGTAGGTACTCAAATAATATTATGTTTGCGGCGAAATACGGACGCGGCGACCAGCGACGCGGCCACTTCCTACGAACGCATACAGCGTAATGCCGTCCGCACTCTGCGCACGCCCCTTTATCATAGAAGTCACACAATTATCGAGAATTATTTCAATTAAAAGAGAAAAAACGAACTTAAAAATTGAAATAAAACGTGGAGAATATAGATTTTTTAATTAACTATCCATTAGTGTTATCCTCAAATGATTAGAGCGTTGCGTTTAGCAACAGATGCATGTAATCAAGAATTTTAGTCATTTTTTAAAAGTTGATTTTAAATGTATTTATAGCACATAAAATAAATTAGAACGTGGAATGCGATGATAAGATATCGAACATTAATAATGTACTTTTAGATGTAGTTTATTTTTCATAACTAATGAGATAATAGAGTCTAAAAAACGCACTTTCGCAACATCTCGGTCAGGGATTCACCTTAAGTGAACAATTGGGTCTTCTGTATTACGACTAACTGTATTTACTTCATCTTCATCGTCACACTCGGCATGCTCTTCTTGTACACTTTCATTCTGAAATAATAATTAAATTTATTTCAGATGCCTGCAAACGAAGAAGAATGGCTGCAAAAAGAAGCTAGTTTTCGTGATATCTTTCCACATTGTATTGGAAGCATTGATGGGAAACATGTTCAAATTTTATCACCGACTCACAGTGGAACTGAGTTTTACAATTACAAGCATACATTCAGCATTGTTCTCATGGTTTTGGTAGATAAGAAGTATTGCTTCATGTATGCAGATGTTGGTTGCCAAGGCCGAATTAGTGACGGTGGAGTATTCAGAAACAGCTCATTATCTGTGAAACTACAGACAAATGCCTTTAATTTACCAGCTCCTTCTGCGCTTCCCGGTTCTGATATCATCGTGCCTTTTGTATTTGTAGCGGACAACGCGATTCCTTCACATACAAACATAATGAAGCCATACCCTGGAGATCATCCAGAAGGCAGTATTAAAAGAAAATTTAACACGCAACTGTCAAAAGCCCGTATAGTTGCAGAAAATTTGTTTGGAATTACGCCGTATTTCGCGTACGGAGAAAGCCGATCGCACTTCAACCAGATCGCACCTCTAATATTGTCATGTCTTGTATATTACTACACAACTTCTTAAGAAACAGTTCATCATCAAATAATACGTATATACCACCAGGTTTTGCAGACACTATTATAAATGGACAAGTAGTTACAGGTACATGGCGAAATGAACAACTAGAAGAAACTGCCTTGCGCCTTTTTTCGGCGGTGGCTAGACGGGGCGGTCTTTTACCAACACAAATCAGGGACAAGTTGGCTCAAAATTTTTTCCATCAATAAAAAGTATATTCTTATTTTGATAAAGTTACACGTGTGGAATATGTATAAATATAGGATGTACCTATTAAATAAGCGTGTTTTATTATTATTTACCTGCGTGTCTATAGTCCGGCGGCAATCCTATATAGGCTGAAGAAAACTATTCATAGCCGAAAAGGCGAACCAATTTCTCTAGTATATGTCGTCGGCGCCAGCTCATAACTTCATCGATTTCTTAATTTTATTGAGGTGGGCTCTGTAATATGACATCAAATAATCTTTTTTCTTCTTCATTTCTTCTACTCTGGTAGGCCAACTGAGCTTGTTTTTAATTCTAACCCACGCATCATGTACCAAATGTTTTTTTTTTGTGGTCGGGGTTACTAGGATTCCATATAATATTCTCAGTTTCATAAAACTGAATGAACTCTAACACTTTTTCGTTACTCCACTCCATAGTGAATATACAAAAACACAAGAACGTCAGTCCCTTGCGACAAGTCCTTTGAAGCGCCCCAGTTTACCGACAGTGTCGCGATGCTACATCGTCTGCACGCGAATACATCGAGTTGCAACGATGTACCCGGCCACATCGCCGTAGCCCGCTAATGTAGCCCCACCAACAGAGAGTGTAACCGCGGTGACAATGATACGTAGCGAAATGTATATGAGTTTGTAATAAAAGAGTTTTTATATGGTTAGTTAACGTACTTAATTACACGTGGCTCGTCTTGTAATGAAATTTTAAAGAATTTTAATGCTATAAAAATTACTTTGCATGCAAAAATACGGCCATGTAGTGGTGGATTAAGAGAATCCTCTAATCCATATTATCCTATGAGTGTCCTAAGAGGCGACAGGGGAAAATGAAAAAGGAGATGGGGCAGCATCTTCCTAATGACACCTCAAAATAATAAAGAAACAGCGATTACCCACGCTAGGAGACAATCTATAGGGGATAGTATTTTTTACATGGGGAAATGCCTACGCATACCCACCTCGCGGGGGCAAGGACGGGTTATGTCGGACTCACACCGACTAAAATCCAATCGTGTCCCATCTTTGCCGCATATTGGTAGGGCCACGGGAACGCTTTCGCATACATCCGCGACCTTACTCGTACCAGCGCTGATCACTCCTTGGCAGATTATCTTCGGGGAAGGATTTCTTCTTCCCATTCTCCTTCAGACAAGGCGCACCAGGAACACAAGTCGCGCCTACTTCCAAGGCCTTTAAATCCACCTGCGTCTGATAGGCAGAAGCCATGCTGCTAGAAAAAAAACGAGCGCTCTGAAGAACACACTTTCCCAACCCCAGCGGCGGATCTGATCTCTGACTCCGCACTGATAGGGAGGACTATTCAGCAGTGGATTTTTAAAGGCTGTAATGAACATTATTTTAACATTATGGTCAACAATAAAAATATTAAATCGTTATTGCTGTAACTTTATGTTTTTTTTTCACGAAATAAAACAATTCGTAGTCAAAAAACCACTGAGTGTCTTTCTTGCCCATGATTTAATTGCTGATAAAGACATGTTTAAGTTTAAGCACGTGCCGCCGCCTCGAGTGTTTCCGTTTTTTTTTATTATTATACTTATTAAACAGACTCCGTGACGACAGCTTCAGTATGTATTGTACTAAGGAGATTAATTTGAATATAAATATCTAGTTGTTCAATTTAAGAAATGTAAATTATGTTGCGAGTAGTGGAAGCTAATACACGATAGATTAGCTTTAACCGTAGCTAGACGTTGTGATGACGTATTTCTTTCATATTTGGCAGAAGCTTATGTTCAGTATTAAGCTACTGTAAGTAACCATGTCGCAGCGATACCTCGTGTGTAATTTGCCGTTTGGTGGTAGCATACGATAATTATTTACCTATATTAATTATTGAAACGTCTTTTTTTAAATAAAGACAAACAAGTACACAGTCCACCTGATGATAAGTAAATGTTGTGATGCATGGTCACCTACATATATTCGAGATTAATAGATGCGTTGTTACTCCATACGACTTAGATAAAATGCCTCATTACCAGTAAAAAGGGTCCCCTGTTCTCTACAGTTACCATACGAAATTTCTTCGTCATTATATGTCTTTTAATACTTTGAAGAAGAAGCTAAAAAAATAAAAATGAAAATATTTGTTCCGAGCCCGGGTGTCGTGCTTGTACATTTTATGTATATAAACTCTTTTATGATACAAGATAAAATATTAGTGTGGTCGAAACGTTTTTAACCCTAGATCACTAACCATTCGTCTCTCAGACTACGCATACCCCCGCATTTCATAGTTCGGTAGGTTCGCGGCACCCGCACTCCCTCCCCCGCTCAGTACCTTCCTGATTGGTCCTGATAGAGATCCGTGTGCACTCGTGGCGGTCGCATTCGCTTTGGAACAGGACATACAGCCGTCACGTCGTCTGACAGACGAAAGGTTAGTGACTGTGTAACATTATTTTTAGTTATAATATTTTTATTTTCATGATTACTTTTATTATATTTTACGCTACTCGGTTTTTTTACCTATTAATTGTAAAATAGGAATAATATGCTATTATTTTGTGGAATAAAAGTAAAGGGAAAATTTATTTTGCAGACTTTATGAATATTTTTGGACCATTTTACGATATTGTTTTGATTTTAAATTTTATTTTTTAGATGGATTTGAGAGGAGATGAGGAGCGCATTCGACGTTGGTTGTGTGAGTCAGACATCGAGTCTAACCACGATGAAGCAGAGGAACTATCGGAATCCGAAGAAGAAGATAATATGGTGGCAGATGCCCACGTAGGAACTGATGAAAGTGAGGAAGAAGGTTCGATGTCATCTGATGAGGAGATTTTAGTCAACAGTTGCTCACGTAAGCGAAGATTTGTAGATTCAGATGATAATAAATCCAATGCAGGTCAGTTGGGGTCTGAGTCCATCCAGCATCAACAGGAGCCGCAGGAGCCTGAGTCATCATTTGTGATCCGTTCCAATAAAAATCACCTTTATGGAAAGAGCGGTTATAAATGGTCTACTAGACCTCGCAATCCACGAGCAAGAACATCTTCTCGTAATGTGATTCACGTAATCCCTGGACCTGCAGGTGTAGCCAAAGAAATAACAGATCCCAGAGAATTATTTCTCCTGTTCATTTCTCATGAAATGATCAATGAGATGATTACTTATACCAACACGGAGATTGACATCAAGAAGTCTAAATACAAACAGGAGAAGTATACCAACTCGCATACTTCCACTAACGAAGTGACGGCTTTACTGGGTCTCTTGATACAATCAGCGGCTATAAAAAGTAACCACTTGCCCACTAGAACACTATTTGACCACAAACGGAGTGCAATTACTTTTAAAGGGTGCATGCGTGCTTATAGGTTTGATTTCTTACTGAGATCAGAATCCTTAGGTTTGACGACAAGACAACAAGAACAGAGCGGAGGGCCTCTGACAAGCTTGCTCCATTCAGACAATTTTGGGAGGCATTCATAAGCAACTGTGTAAAATGGTATAAGCCCAGTTCATACATAACTATTGACGAACAGCTTGTTGGGTTCAGAGGACGTTGTCCATTTAGGATGTACATACCCAATAAGCCAAATAAATACGGTCTTAAGCTTATTATGATGGCAGACTCGAATACAGATATGTATGCAATGCCATTCCATATTTAGGCAAGGAAACTAATCCAGGAACCGAACCTCTTGCGAGCTATTTGGTGAAGGAGATCACCAAACCCATACATGGTTCGAATCGAAACTTAACTATGGACAATTGGTTTACATTCATTCCTTTTGCTCGATATGCTCCAGGCTCCGTATAAATTGACAATTGTTGGTACATTGCGAAGCAACAAACGGGAAATAACCCAGGAAATAAAAAAAAAACTCTAGAGCATGGCAAGTGGGCACTTCAATGTTTTGCTTCGATAACGAGATGACCATGGTTTCGTACAAGCCCAAGTCTAACAAGATTGTTTACCTTTTATCAACCACCCATGATCAACCCACTGTCAATGATGTTACCAAGAAGCCGGAAATTATTCATTTCTATAATTCTACAAAGGGCGCTGTAGATACCGTGGATCAATGTGTTCTATCATGAGCACTGGTCGCAAAACCAATAGATGGCCGCTATGCTTATTCTATGATACTGTAAACATTAGTATCATAAACGCGTATGTTGTTTACGTATGCAATATGATCCGAGACCATAAGAAACCGCTCAAGAGGAGAGAATTTGCCTTGCAAATGGCAGATGAACTAATAAAACCCTGGCTACTCGAGCGCTACAATACGGTGACTTTGCAGCGTGATGTGAAAAAGAGTGTTGGAGATATTCTCAACATTGAAGTGCCATAAGAAAGCTGTGTACAAGAGCTACATAAAACAAGAAAAATATGTGGATTTTGCCCAGCAAAAAAAAGGCGTATGACAAAATATTTTTGTACATACTGCAAAAAGGCCATTTGCGGAGAGCACACAGTTCCTATTTGTAATAGCTGTAAGAATTAATATTGTTTATTTTTCACCGTTTTGTTTGATTCCTTAAAGAAAGGACTTTCAAGTGTTTGTTTCTTTTATAAAATAAATAACAATGATTTTGAAAATATTTGCGTTTCATTACGTAGTCTGTGAATCGAATGGTTAGTGATAGTGTTACTCCGATTTAAGGTTAGTGATCTAGGGTTAAAATGAAAAAATAAAAGATCTGTGCCCAGCAATGAGATGTACAAAAGCTGTACCTGACCTAACTTTTGTAAAAAAGATGTACAAAAGTTAGGTTAGGTATTCCACACAATGTCATCATTTTATCTCCCTCTAAATGAAGTGACGACATAGTAAGAGCTGCAGGAAGTCAATGATTCAGGTTGTTCGGGACAGTGCTATATTCAGAAGTGGAATGTAAATGGCTGTAATGATGATGACGATGATAAAACAAAATGGTCCCAAAGATTGTGCTATAAAATTTTAAATAATTATAGTTTTTATTTTATTTGCAGGTCGTAACATTTCAGCGGGGGAACCATTATATTGTCAAACACGTCCTTTTAACTCTAATGAAGACTCAATTGAAGTGGTTGCAGCTAAACCTTTGGAAATGTGGTGGCACGAATGGGATACTGCTTCAAGTACAGTGGAGACACCATTTTTACTTTCCTGTCCATTAACAGATAGTCTATATGACATGTCTGTAGTGTACATCGTTACTGAACCCTGCGAAGATCCTGGTAATGCATTTGTATTAAAACCCTCAAAGAAATTAACGGAATACAAACGAACATTTACAATTTGCGTTAAAGATATGAATTTCAATAAAAATATAGCGCAGAACCTAATAGAATGGATTGAAACCAACAAGATACTGGGTGTTGACCTTATTGACGTATATATTGATGAAATAACCAAGGAGACCCAAAATGTCCTATTAAGATATAAAGATCAAGGGTATGTTAGATTATTTCACGTTCCTATTAAATATAGCTTTCAAAGATCCCTATGGCAAAGAAGAAGGGATCATTTAATAAGTTATAATGATTGCTTATACAGAAATTTAGCAGAATCAGAGTATATTGTACCGTTAGATGTAGATGAAATATTGCTGCCAAAAATAGCTTTTAATTTGTCAGAATTGCTGAGACGTTTAAGAAAATTTGGTTGGAATCTAAAAGAATATTCAGCAATTTTAGTTCAAAATGTTTTTTTTTTTTTTTGATTTTATGCAAGGAGTGCATAAATATAAATTCTTTAAAAATGATTCTAACAAGAGTAAGATCTATGTCAAACGAGATAATGTACGAATTAACGACGCGATCAATATTAATGTAGAGAAAATAGAATTAGAAGATGACTTTAATAGTTTAAGTATGACTGATTTAGATAATTTAGATAAAGAAAATTTAAACAAATACGAAATTAAGTGTAAAAGGAGAATTCCTATTCCCAAATTATATCAAAATATTATTCGCTCGCCGTTAGTGAGTCCCGTTGGTTATTATAGTAAAAGTATGATGCTAACAAGAAGAGTATTAACTGCATTTAATCACTACCCTTTAACAAACCTTGGAATGGCAGGCTTGGAATGGCGGATGGTCTACGCCATTCAGCGAAGTGCAGCTCAATCATTATAAGGTACGTAAATGGTCGATTTAACAAATAATTCGCTTTGTATTATTATGGAAATATTTGACTTTATTACTTCGTATTATGGTAAATCTTTTTGTAAAATTACTTTAAAGATAAACTAGATACATTTATTGAGTTTGCAATTATGTCGAATTAAAAGTAGAAATAAAAATGTTTCTAATTAAAACTGTACCAGAGAGTAGAGTGTCAATTTATTTTCATTAACGCGGATTATTTTATTGATTTATTTGTGTGAAATGAAAATATATATTCATTTTTGGGATAATTTTACATTTTTTAAGTTAAGTTTAATTAAAATTTAAGAAATCATTAAGTTTAATTTGTTATTGTTAAGTAAAAATCTGTATGTTTATTTGTAATTATTATTTAAATTACGTTCGTTACAATTGTTGTATAACCGTATCACATTTTTGTTTTACCAGGAGTCGTGCAACACGACGATGGTGGCAGAGTGCGTGAGGTATGGACAACGGGCTCGAGTTGATTGCACTGCACTGCGACTGCATCCTCGGCTAACTCATGCTCTCGCTGCTGCACTTTGCCATAAAATAAAAAAGTTTTGAAATTAAATAGTTTTTAATTTACCTGGTCTTAGATGTTGTATTTTTGGAATCGCACATAAACTTAATATTAAAACTTGTAGTATTTATTATAACCTATCAAGGTTTACTGCTTAATAGGCCTTCCCATTAATTGCCTCATATGGTGGATATTTGCCATACTTACCTCGCTTGGCAGGCGTATTAGTAACCGCAGTTTTCTAAATTTTATTTCTGTTACTAGGCAGACGTCTTTGCTTATCACCTGGTTTGTCTCCCTTAGTCGCCTTTTACGCCACCCACGTGCGATATAGTAAATAAACTCTCTTAAACCGTCATACACGGTCAATAGTATGATATAAAATAAATAATTTATATTAATGTAAGATTGTCTCCAACTGTGAGATTCTGTGTTCGAACACAAATCGAAAAAATTATTACTAGGAACTTTCTCTCCTCAAAATATAATTGACAGTTTGAAATCTAAAAATGAACCCGAATGAATGCAAGAAGCCCATCTTCTGTCTACGTGTCATTATAACTACATGAAATATTTTCTTATGGGTCATTAAGCGATAATTATATTTATTTTCTTATCGTAAAAATACCACATTATTAGCTTTTGAAAGGTCCACTGTTGCAAAGTTTGATTACTTCCAAATTAAGCAGGCTCATAGGTGGTGGTAGAGCTAAAACACTGGTGCTATTACGTTGCACTACAAACTGTGGTAAAACTGTGTATGCTGTGCTCATCATCTGAGGAATTTCAGTTCAATATATTTTGATGGATTTTTCGCCGTCAGTCGATGGTCAGAACCTCGTCTGTCAAACAATAAGGTGCACTTATAAACAAAGAAAAACACCACCATGAAGTGCCACAATATTTAACGATGTCAAGCGAATGGGTCTGCACGATAGGGGAATGACCATGCTTCCACAGAGTTCAAGCGTAAAATAGCAACTTAATGCTGCTCTTTACAGTCAGTGTATAAAACCGGAGTCCCTTTTTACTGGTAATCAGACATTTTAGCTTAGTCATCAGGACTGTGAGCTCGTTGGTCACCCTTATTCTATAAAATAATAATAATAAGTGACAAAATTAGATAAACTGTGTTTTATTATTTAATGTTAATATTGTGTATATACAAACTAAATATATTTCACTCCAATAAACAGTTTTAACAAAATATACTATTGCAAGAAACAGTTACAATGTTCCCGGAAGCATGGAGCTAAGTCGTGTACCAAAGTAACTGTTTTCAGACTGGTCCAGAACTGGATGTTGCTCGTAAAGCGCCTATCTCAGATAAATTCGACATTAATTTGCCTTGTTGTCTTTCCGTATAAAATATCTTCGCAATATTTATTGTTGTACAGGTTTTGGTTACAATTTCTAACAATAAATATATTCGAATCTAAATTAGGTACACAAGCTATAATTAACTTAATTAATTTGACAAAATCTTTATGTTGAAGTGGTGTTTGTATTTTATACACATTTATTGATCATTAAAGCCTGATATACCATTGTCTTCAAACGTTTCCTGTCGTTAGTATTAAGAGCATTTAACTATAAATTATTATATGTGAAAATAGGTTATTATAATTAGTAGTAGTAATTATAATTAATTGATAATAATTTCACTTTTTTAATAAATCGTTGTAGTTTAGGGAATGGGTTCGAATCGAACCTTTTGATCACAATTGTTTTAAGTGCTAATTAATCATGTGCTCTTAAAAATGAAGATTCGGGCGTAAATAAATAAATACATAGAACAAGGAAGTCAATTTCCGGTAGACTGTATGCAAATAGATCAACAGTATTTTGCCGTTGTTATTATTATTCTAATGGCAGTCGTTATTATCTGCCTCGTCTCTTGCATGTTAATTCGAGTTGATTTACATGCAAGAGGTTCCCGGTTTATTGTGAACTCCAGTCTGCTTACCTTAGGTTATATACAAATCTAAGCATCCTAACACCGTTTCCAGGACATTGCCCGCTTCGAGTCTCTGTGACGGCAGATCATATGTGATCGGCAGATCGATGTGATAATTTACTATACGATATTGACTGTGTTATTTATAAAATATTATGGAATTAATGCTTAATTTCTATAATATTATTACTTTTTGATACATTAAAAATTTAAAGTCTGCTTAAACAAGATTAAATTTAAAATATGAAAACTTTTAATAGTCCGTTTTTTGTATGCTATAATATATATAATACACGTTTATTTCAATTCTTTTAATGAAACTGTTTAAGAAATCATTGTACTGTAATATATAATATACCTATGTATATAGTTTTATAATCTATAACTTTGTAATGTAATGATCAAGACTAGAGTAATACGAACTCTACTTCATTTGTAAAACTAAATTTTAGCGCTAAATTCAATATGTTGTGCTCGCTGGTTAAATGGAACATCGTTGTAGAACATATACCGCAGCAGTGCGGCGGAATTCAATGTAAAAATAACCTCGCATATTAAGGGTTCCATATTATCGTAAAACAAGTTGCTGGTTGGGGAGCCCCCTTTAATTTTTAATTTATTTTTATTTTTATTATTTGTTGTTATAGTGGCAACAAAACTACACATTCTGTGAAAATTTCAACTATCTACCTGTTACGGATTACGAACGGACGGGCAGACGGACGGACAGCGGAGGCTTAGTAATAGGGTCCCGTTGATTACCCTTTGGATACGGAACCATAAAAAACTTGACCTATTAACAGCTTGAAAAAATATATAGGTGTTTTATATCCAGGTACTAATTATGGTCCGAAAATATTTTCTTTCGTTACTGTGAACATGTTAAGTTGATGAAAACTTTGTAGCGATTTTTATGACAAAGACCCGAGTCGTAATTTTAATTTGCAGTTATCTGAGAATTATACGCTTTAATAATAATTTCGCAGTAAATTGCATTAAAATTTTATACGTAAAAAATGAATTATTATATACTTTTATCATCTTATATTCTATTATTCTATTATATTTATCTTATATTCTTTTATCATTTCACCGCCAGGTATGGCCTACACCTGGCGGTGAAACGATTCCTTTTTTGTATGAGATAAATTAAATAAATAAAAAGAAAGATAAAGTGTCCGCCATACTGTCTAAATGTGTGGAGGTCAACTTCACAACATGTTCATGTTTTTTTTTTTATTTCTAAGAGCTTACCTCTCGTGATGTTTTTCTTCACGACTCTACACGTAATAAATCAGCACGTATATCGTAATTAGTTCAATAGCTTATTGTGATCAATGATTTCTGTGTACTAAGTTATCTATGAATGAGGACTTTATCATTGTAAACAGTAAAAACAAGTAAATTATTTTAAGTTATTATTTTTTACCACGTTTTATATCACATTCTTTTATTCTCGTCCGAATTCGAGCTATATTCAAAATTTCAAGTTTAGTGTTCAACGGGAAATCAATTACTAAATTGCACCCGGAACGACAGACAGATAAACAAGAAAGTCATTTATTAAAAATGTTGTAAAATGCTGGAAGAAATAAGTTTCCTATATAATAGAATGCTCGTTGTGTCTAGAGAAGTTTTTCAAAAAGTATATAAAAAATCCCATTCGAATGATACCTAGTGTCAGAATATCAAAGAAATCGGTGAAGAATTTTCGGAGATTAAGGATTTAAAAAAAAAACGAACATTAAAATTTTTTGTATATCTAGTAACTAGTTAATATAGGTATGTTTAGTATAATAATACATCAGTGGATAATTAATTATCGAACCTAAAATTATTGTATATTTAAAACAAATTGGTTTGCTCTATTCACGTGATGTTCTTTGTTTATGTGAAAATTATTTTCATTTTTTCGTATGCAAAGCTCCCATAAATAATTTTAATACATGGCTTTCTTTGGATTGCATCGTTAAATTATATTTCTATTCTTATTCGATACTCTGCACAGTCAAAAGTGATTTATATAAGTAATCAAAATTTTAAGAAATACCGAGTTTGTTTTCAAGTATCTTATTATAGCTAGGAGTGACATTCTCGTTCACGCAAGCAGCGTGCTTTATATAGTTTTAGAAATTATGAAATGGCTTGTTGTGTAGTGTTGAGTGGCTCAAAAAGGTGCTCACAATGTCATGGAATACTGTTCTTATCTCTGAGCCATGTTATCCCAGTGTCAGCTAATTCCACTTGTCCGCACCCAACGGCTCGATGGTGACCATCTCTACTAAATGGTGCTGCAAAGAGATGTTGCATCCCCATGCATTTTCTTCACATTTAACGCGTGGAGTGCGCAGAGAGAGTTGTTCGTATTAATAACTGAAAACTCTATTTGCTGATCATCATTGATTATAACCCTTCACAAGTCTATTACTGAACATAAACCTCTCCCAATCAATGTCACACAGCATAGTCCTAAGCCATGTGCACTAATCGACTTCCTGCATGTCTTAC